AATCTCTCTCTCTCTCTCTCTCTCTCTCTCTCTCTCTCTCTCTCTCTCGGCCAATCACCGCGATATTAGCAGTGACCTTCTTTGCATCCAAGGAGCTTTTTCTCTTAGCTGTCTTCAGTGTTTTTTTTTGTCGCTCGTCAGCTGTTTCCTATCGCCTTGCTCGGCCGGTGTCTCTCGATATCTTTCTCTCGCGTCTCTCCTCGACGTATCACGCAGCGGAGCTGAAAAGTTGCCGCAAACGGCAACCGAGATCGGAACGACAACACTTCTTAGCGAGAGCGAGAGTTAAAATTCCGTTATCTTTCTTTCTTCCTTTAAGCGGCGATCCTCGGCGAGAGCGAACGACGCGCCTCGGCCTCCTTCTGTTTCATGCTGTCCTTCGCATCCTCCTCTCTCGGTTCGGCAGAGTGAGCTCGGGGGTGACACAAATCGTGGGACACGGGACCAACGCACATCTATTCTGTTAATTTACAGAATTTCGGTAGCGAGAGTCAATCTCGCGTTTGCAAACCACGCGACAGAAAAATGTTGGACGCGCGCGAAAATCAGTAAATGCCGACACGCGCCCCTTGTGACAGGCGCATTCAGGGCCGCTATGTCACACAATATAACGATAAATAAATTGTTTAAATGTATCTTATTAAGATATAAAACGCTCATTAGGAAATTGCCAGTACGAAACTTTTATTCCGGGCGACGTTTTACTGGACATTGCTTTAAATGTTCGTCTTATATTTATTTTATATTTTGTCACAAATCATCGTTGTCGTAAAAAAGCCTACGTGCATGTTTTGTGACTTTAAGATACTTGTGTAATTATATGTAGAATAAAATTCTGAATATATGTTGATATAAACATCTTGATTTGATAAGAAACTTTACATAGAAGATATTTTCTCGTCAGCGACGATATATCATAATTGCGCTCACGACTCAGATCGACGCTGAGAAAGCCAAGATATCCTCAGGCATGCATAAATCGACTGAGTCGGAGCAAGAAGGAGCGAGAAGGAGCGAAGACCATTCTCTTTCTCGCTCCGTTACATGAGCGACGCCGATAGACAGAGCAGCAGCGTTGTGTGCGTGCGTTTGGAGAAGGCGCATAGAGGGGGTACCATCTCCTCGCACGCTGTGATGTGCGCGAGCACATTTCTGCAGCACTGTTCATAATCCGCGGATGTGCCTCAGGCACAGGGTCCAAGTTTGAGTCCCACCAGTGCCAGTAAGAATTTTTAAATATGATGTGACATTGGAATCAAGTAATCTACAATTTTCGAATATTTTCTACTAGAAGAAGTAATGTATATCATATATAAAAAACTTAAAAAGTGTATATATGAGAATGATACGTGTATATGTCTGCCTGATAAAAATATATTAAAACTGATACATAAGCTATATGAAAAATTTAGATACAGGAAGATAGAAAATATATCTGAAATTTCAAATAACTAATCTGATATTTACGAATCAGAAGCACGATAGAATATTATTAATTTCAATAAAATATGACTATGTAAAAAGATATTAAAAATGATATATTAGTGCTGTATGAAAAATTAAATACAAAAAGATAGAAAATGTATCTGAAATTTCAGATAACCAATCTGATATTTACAAACCCAGAACACAATAGAGTCAGATAGATATTTTTCTATCTGATCCTATCAGACATTTTAAGCAAGAATTTCGCATAGAAAATGATAGTATCCAATATATTGTCATAAAAAACAGTATGTTCTTATTCGTGATATTTTCATAAAAATTGATATACAATGCTTCGTAAAATGTTTATTGGTTTTCGTTTGCAAGATATTCGGAATAAATAAAAAATAATAAAAGTCTATATTAAACTTCTATCAGTAATATATTAAGTCGTTTATGAAAAGCACGTACCAAAAACACGATTAGTTTAGATAGAATTTTTTAAATTGTTTTTTATCGGACATTTTAAGCAGGGATAAGTTTTTCATTTTTTAATTTTTGATAGCTTTGCATAGAGTTTTATTCGAAAGTTATTATAAGATATGAAATTTTATTCTTCGTAAAATTCTCATAAAATATGATATGCAATTATTCGTAAAAATCTTGTAAATTTTTATTCGAATGTTGTTTCGAACGGCCCAAGGGTGGAGAGCGGCCGGTTCGTTGTGCTAGATGCGGATAGGTGTCCGCTCGCCGCGTGGAGACCGCGGGCTTCGTCGCTAGCAGTCCGCTATCCAGCGGCCCCGTGAGATAACGTGGGGTGCAAGTGATTCGCGAAGTTCTTCGGAGACGGGAGTCTTCGGCTCCGTGTTTTGGTGAGTCGCCGACTCGAATAAAGCGAGCCAGGTCAATCGAAGCGGCGGCCCTGCGGTGATGCACCGCTTCCCAGAGCCTCCGCGCTAGGAGAAGTTCCCCTTGTCGGAGGAGTAATGAGAATCGTAACGTCGCGCGGGCGACGTAACTTAGGCGCGAGGG